CGTATACACTACCCATCTCCAGCGTCTTTTCCTAATTTCCTCTTCAGCTGGGAGCTTGTTTTGTTCCCTATAAAATTAGGTTTTTGTTGATGGTATCCGGTTGATAGACATTCAGTATCTCGAGTTGATAATAGTTTGTAAATATTTGAACCTTCATGATGATGGTTATAGTATTTCTATAGAATGGAGCTGTCTTGACGTCCATACTGAAGATTTTGACTTTGATGCTGGCTGACAGTTGCCTTGAGTCCCATATGTTTTCTAATGGCTGGGATGCTGCCCTTGCTTTCCCAATCTTTGCATTCACATCTGCATCAGATCCTCTCCTTGTTTATCGATGATGCTGTCCAGGTACGTGAAAATTTCCAGAGCTTCTCCATAAATTGTGATTGGGTTAGTGCTCTGTACGTTGAATTTCAAGATATTAATTTTTGATTGTGTATGTTGAAGCCTACTACTACACAGCCTGCTGCTACACTAGCTGTCTTGACCTGCAATTGTTGCTGTGTATGGGATAGACAAGCCAGGTCATCTACCAAGTCCGAATCATCTAACTCCATCCAAGCTGTCCATTGCATTACAAACTTTCCCTCAGATGTGGAGGTTGTTGAGGCTAGTTTCCCCTATATCTGACTCCAATAAATGATATCCCGTTAACTGAGTAGGTAGGCTAAATCTCCTAGTAGAATTATAGATTTACTCGCGATTATTCAGAAGCCTGAACACCAGTCGTAGAGATATTTTATTGTTAAAGGTAAATAAAATCCACAAGCGTACAGCGAGCAAGCACACTGTGAAACCAAGAATGTGTGGGTGTGAGAGTTAAAAATCCATATATATTTTTCAGTGTCAATCAAGTGTGGATAAATTATTGATTGTCTGTATGTTACAACCAATAGGAGAATAGATTAAGGTTGATGTGCAGACACGCACTCAATCATCCACACACAGAAATTAACATAGTGAATTAAGTGTCTGAATTACAGTGAGTAGAGTAATAATACAATAGTTGAATGGGCTTGCTACAAGGTCTTCATAATCCAGTCGACCACCAGAAGAAACAGAAAGAGAGAGAGCAAGCAGCCTTGCCTGACTCCGGTCCTCACCTGGAGTGCGTCTTTCAGCTGTCCTCCATGCTTGACTTTGCACTGTATTCCATCGTATAAGTTCTGTACGATGTTCATGACGTCCTCAACTACACCATAGTGTCGAAAATGTTGTATAAAGTTATTCTACCCACACTGTCAGATGCTTTCTCATGAACAAAGAAGTTGATGTGTAAGGACGAACTTCATTCAATCGATTGTTCAATAATAATCAGGAGTGTCACGATTTGGTTTGTGAGCGACCGATCCTTACGGAATACAGCCTGTTAATCTCGAAGTTGGGCGTTTACTTAACCTTCCATTCGACTCAACAACGCTGTTGAAAACTTTACCGGTTGCTGATGGTAGTGTGTCTGTAGAACTTATTCTTCCTCCTAAATCTTCCTGAATAGGACATCGGGCATATTTGCAGTTACTTCTATGTCTCCTTTCAGTTGGTATATTTTCAGATAATGTTGCTCTCCCACTCTTCATTTTTCGTGGTTATTTCGTCGATTGTTAGTGAAGTGCCATAAATAGGAGTGTTTGTATATGCTGTTTCGACATCTGGTGGGTTAAGTGGAGCTGGTCTATTCAAGATTTGATCAATACGCTCTACCTACCTGTTTCACTGTTTTTGAATATCGGTGATTGTTTTGCCTTCTTTGTCCTTGACCGGTTTCTCTGGTTTACCATATTCCCCTACCAGTTTCTTTGTTGTGTCATATATCTGTCTCATATTTCCTTGTGTTCCAGCTGTATCCACTGTCGTTGCTAGGTCTTCCACGTATTAATGCCTATCAGTCCTGATGCTCGTCATCACTCGCTTGTTTTTTTTGTGTATTCGTTCTGTGCCTTGACTTTCTCTGCTCTCGTTCGACCTTTGCTAATTGCTGTTTTCTTGTTCTTCCTTTCTTGTCTAGGGTTTTTATAGAGATCCATTCATTATGATGGTGCTTGTTGCAGCCCAGCACCTCCTAACACGTTGAAGTTGGTACTTATTTGATCCCTTTCGAATAGTCCTCCATAATAGTTTCTTCATTCAGTAGATCCTGTAAGGCTTGGAACTTGTTATCAAGAGTTATCTTGAATTGGTTTAGTTTGTATCTTGAAAGAAGGCTGTATTGAAACTTTGTAATGCTATTTCTCTAGTTGTCTATTGATTCCTTATCTTCAGTTTCATGCTGGCAACCATCAGGTGGTGATCTGTAGCTATGTCAGCTCCTCTCTCGGTTTTCGTCTTCCATTGACCTTCTGAAATTTTTAGCGATACAAATATGACTGGTCTGAATCTGTATAGCGTGATCCGGTGAGACCCATGTAGTTTTTTGAATGCGTTTGTGTGGGAATAAAGTGCCACCTATAACCATTTTATTGAATGCACATAAAATTGCACATCACTTGTCATTCTCTTTTCTTTCTCCCAGTTAGTCGTCCCATGATATCTTCATACTCGATGTTGTCCATCCCGACTTTGGTGTTTAAGTTTCACATCAGGATGGTCAGGTACTTTCCTATGCATTTCTCTGCGATTGACTGTAGCCTCTCATAAAACTGATCTTTATCCTTGTCGTTGTTATCATTGGTTGATACATAACATTGAATAACATGCATTGTGATTCCCTTCTTCATTGTTTTGAATGATGCTTAGATGATCCTAGATCCATGAGGTTTGCATCCTGTAAGTACTTTTCGTGATTTTTTGGACAGAATCAGTGGAAATCCTTGTGTGCCTCGCATTTTCTTCTTCATGACCAGAGTACAACAGCATCTCTCTCGAATATAATCTTTACTGTCCAGCTTGGATCCAACGGGTTCCACTTATTCTGAGCACTGCCAAGTTATATCTCCTCATTTCCGTAGCGATTTGGCTGATCCTCTTAGTCTCCCATACTATCCGGACATTCCATGTACCTATATTAATTACTGCTCCGGTTGTTAGAAGGGGCACAAACCTCATGATTGCTAAAGAACTTCGGCTTTCCTCATTAGGTGTCAAAATTCTTCTGAATGAAGACCCTTCAACTCCCAAGGGAGTGTTCAGAAGATTTAAATTATTTATTTTATTAGTGCTTTTTAGCAAGGTTGTTTTTTAAGAAGTGGGGTTACTGACACCATGCCCAACCACCCTCCTTTATTCGGACTTGAGACCGGCAGTAATCATAGATGTATAGGCGGATTTAGTAGTTCAACTGATTTCGAATTGTTTTATAAGTAACCTAAATAGGACGTTAAAATCAAACCTTCAACTTTCAGGGATGTAAGAAAGGTTATAAATTATTTTAAATGAGAGAGCAGTAATCCTAATAGATTGACTCCAGTGGTTAAGGTGGATGATTTGGCTTAGTTGCTAGCAAGATTTAGAAACCTTAATGTTATTCCATTAGAATGATGTCAACCATTAGTCATTGCAAAGGATGGCACTGTTATATGTATCAGTTTGAGTTACGTAGTGTTTAGCATATTAGTTTCCACAGTAACATGAAAACCAAATGTAACCCAGGAGAGTTAATCTCAAAACAAACCAAGCTTGTTTAAACTCGGGAATAAACATATCAGCTAAATGTTTAACCATGATATATCTTGAAGCAGGTGCATTAACAAACGCCTGACTCCAGTTGTTCGTAGAAGTGAAGGCAGTATCTGGCATTGTTGATCAACATAGTTGAAACAATATCCGTCAATAAAAGATGTGTTGAAAGGTATAGCAAACAAAAAGAGAGATAAAATCCGACACTTGTTATCATCAGAGCTCATAGCAACCTACCATCAAAAAATCCCGGGTAACATGGTGTTAAGCAGGGATTCCTACTTTCACTATGTTTATTTAGTTCTGGTATACATACGGTTTTAAAGATAAATTATCCTCATTTTAGGCTCTAGGTATTTTAGCTATTAGTCTCATTCATCGAACTAGGGTACTGGAAAAACAAAGTCTTATGAGCGAATCAATCGATTATTGTTATGATCTCTCTCATTACCATTCAGCTACTTTCATTGCTTAGTATTCTTCGGATACCTTGTTTCACTCAACAAGTCCCCAAATCAGAGCACGACTGAACAGGGACGTAATTATATTCCGAATGAAACAAGGTTGAGTGGAAGTAGAAATCACTATAGGAAAAACGTTAGCATATTTATAATCTTACAGAAGATTCTAGAGCATGTTTCAATTATCGGCTAGCACTGATTAGCTAAGAAGTGGTCAATCAGCGTGATCAAACACAATCATGAGCGGAACATCCTCTAATCCAATCTATATCCCACCAACATTTATACAAAATTGTTTGGGGTGTATTTATTTTATCCTAAAATGTTGTTCTCAATAATGAGTCAATTAGTCAAACACGTTCCTGTTAGCGGGACATAGACTGGATTAAAGCATGCTCAATGCACGATTGCTTTGGTGTACGCTGATTGGCTAATTCTTATCCAATCAGCACTAGTCGGTACTTGAAGAATACTTTGAAATCTTCTCGTGTAAAAACTATAAATATACTAACGTTTTCCCTATTGTGCTTCTTACTTCCATCTAACCTTGTTATTTGGGATATAATCTCTTTCCTGTTCAGCCGTGTTCTGATTTGGGGACTTGCTGAGTTAATCGGTGTCCGAGAATACTAAGCAATAGGAATAGCTGGGTCATAACCGTAAGAAAGAGATTATAACAGTTTCGAATCCCAGTCATTTGACGACTCTCATCAGACAAACCAAAAGCTTACATCATCTTTGGAACAAGTGAGATAGTCTAGGTTTTCTGTTTATTGTGTAAGACGGAAAGGCAACTTCGAATACTGAATCGGGGGTATGGGTCTCACCTTCCCGAGAAATTTTAGTTTAAAATTTCATCAAAGTCTGAATACTATTTAGTTTCTCACTTTTATTTGGAGGCAGAATGGCAACATCATAAGTCTGAAGACTTTGCATATCGTATTATATTTTACACCAGTACAAATCAAAGAAACATAAAAAGCCTGGGTTGCATTTATTATGTAGATTAGTTTAATAGATGTGTGAAACGTGAACCAAATAGAATTTAGATCCATTTTATCACTCTCAGTAAGTGAATATACGATACTTTTAAGAGCATCAGTAAAGACCACTGTGTACTTTTGAAATACTGAATATTACTTGCCAGGCTATTTATAAAATATTCATTACAGAAAAACTGAGCTACTACACAACTCGTACACTGTCATAAGAAGCATTACAGCATAGTATGGCTAGCAGTACACATACATTTCTAATAGACTAGAATAAGCTCAAATAATGATAATTTTCAAAGAAATGTTTTTAATGAGGAAAGCAATCACAATACAATTAATAGTAGTGGTGGTAAAAGTAATTCTAACAATGACAGTTTCGGCCAAAGCATAGGTTTGACAATAAACGTGTGTGAAACACTGATAGACACAAAGAGACGAAGACAAATAGTTCTTAGAGCGCAATGATATAAATAATCCTGTGTGGAAATAAGTCATTTAAAACATACAAACAAATATATCAATAATAATATCACGTGCCGCAAAAATATATCGATAGGTAGTCTCTTTTAAAATGATATCATCCACAAAACTGTCGACAAATTATAGAACGTCAAATAAGTTGATGTACAACTATCCATATCTTATTCGTAGAATTTCATCGACAATTTAGTGAAGGATACTAAGCTTTAGAGTGACCCTTTAACGACAATTCTCCTGAACAATCTTTAGTTTTTAATGAAAATAATCATTGAAGTAGTCAATTTACGACAATTAGAATAGTTAGAGAAATGAAAAAAGTTGACAATAACAAAGTATCACTTAGTTAAATTGAGATTCGAAAACAAGTGTGGTATTTTGATAAACAATATAGTAGAGTTAAGTATCATAAAATACAATTAAATAGATGTAATGCAAAACAAACGACTATAATAAATGCCACTTTATATATATATATATATCGCCATTTATAAGATAATAATACAACGAAAGAAAGCATAAATGGAATGTAACTCATTTGCATGATAGAAAACGAAAGCATAAAACGTAATTATTATCTTGGAAGGAGATAAATGGTAACCAACTGATTCAAAAGAATAACTAAGTACCCGAATAACCCGTTCCTGGATAACCACCACTGCCCGGACCACCAATCACACCTTTTACTGCACCGACAGCAGCTTTTTCGATTAAATGATCCCGAAATCCTGGTTGCTCACCATATCCACCTTGAAATGTTGGAGGTTGTGATTCACCTGCAGCGTATTGAGTATGATGTTCAGAACCAACGCCAACTGGATTTGCTTGTCCACTGCGTCTAGAACAAGATGTTTTGTATACACAGTAGAATGAGAGCAGAAAACTATTGATTTATAAACTAATGGAAATCACATTTAAAAGATGTGAATATTCTATGTTAACATACATTAATCTGCAGTTTGTTCCATAAATGTAAACATCCATACACCAATCAGGGACCAAAGAATTACATATTACAGATAAAGTGGTAACTTCGGTTGAAACCAATGATTGTTAATGTTGGGATAAGTTTAGATTAATATCTATTACATATATGATAACTGTATATAAATGTATGTGAAATATACCTACTAACGGCTATAAATACACCAGCGATACAGTAATAAAAGACTGAAGTCCAGTTTTATTCCTTACCAAACGAATGGCCTAAGTGAGTAAAATATTGTCTATACATTTTTCAGAATGAAAATCAGTTCTGTTTTGTCGACCTAATTGAGATTTACTTCCAAAAACTAATTATACTTTTTAGAAATTGATAAAACAGCACTGAGTATAGTTTAGTGAAATGTCTGTTAAGAAGAGTAGGTGGCTTAATCGACCTGTGATCAATAATAGCTTGTGATTAACCCCGGTGTGATTGGATTATGTTAAAACTCAATGTTGATCTTACACATTACTCATAAATTTGACAAGCATGAGCATAAACAATAATCTGGGCTAATAGATCGCTACTATAAGTATAAAAACGCCTGCGTACTACATGAAGCATATTTCTCATCTGCCTGACCAAACTAAAGTAATAGAGACAATAAAACGACAGAACAGTGGGTGTGACTCACAAACCCAGACAAACTTTTAGTGTTGTCAATCATGTTTATTATCTAAAGGCAGTTACTATCTCACTGTCCAAACAGGAATGAATTTTAGGTTAGAAATATCAGTATTATGATCAAATAAATCAGCTACTAACTTGACAGTAAACTTTGTAAATATAGATGTGAAAGTAAATAAACTAAACTAACCTTTCCTTAAAAATCCTCCAGACATTAAATGCACAACATCCAGCTAAAGCTAATCCACAAAAAAGTGTAGAAATTCCAAAACATAAACTCATTGGTAAAATGGCTGCACTAAAATGAAAATAGCAATTACGAAGTATATTTACTTACATTCCATAGAAAATCGACTTTTCAATTGGGGATCGTTTTTCAATGAATTCATTGAATTTATGCAATTGAGGTATCATGGAACAACATATTGGGGCTTCAAATATTATGACGACTATACCAATTAAACTTTAGAAAATTAACAGAAAAAAGGCAAGATTGAAAGTTACCATGAAAACTGAAAGTAAAAACAGTGGAATTATGTACATTTTTCAAAACCAGGAGTAATTTGTTCACTGTATAGTTACGAAGTCTGTGACGATACGTTTACAAAAGAAATTAAATTCAAGACCTCAACATATGTCATAATTACCAGATTAAATAAATATATTACAAATATCCACTTTCTCATGTCAAATAAAATGTTAACCAGATTTTTTTCGGTACACTTGGTTGTCAATTTTGGAAGTTTAAAGATGACTTCATCCAGAAAGCTTGATAGAGTGATGTGCCACTACTGGATGCTAAGTATGCTATTTTATGTGATCGTTTCCTTAGAATTGATAATCTTTCCAATCCTATGTGTCCAGATTTACAAATGTCTGAACGTCACTGTGCAATCATGAAGGTTAATGAAGACTTAGCCAGTATATTTTACTCAGCATACTTCAGAAATGTCATAAACGTAATTAGATTGAGTCGAGCTTCTTTAGCTCAAAAGGTGGATAGTGCTTTTAAGCAAAGGTTCACATATTCAGTTATATCGCATTATGATTAAGACAAATGTGTTAAGATCACCTCTAAGAATTACTTGCACTCTAAAGTTAGAGACACACCGTAAATATTGAGAACTTTGATGAATAGCCTAGCGTCTGGCAAACTTTGGGGCAATTCCAGTAACGTTTATTCCCATAAAAGGTAAAATCGGATGAAGCTAGTAAAATAAAGTGACGAAAACTCCAGAATACTTTCTACCAAAACCATAACTTCGAGTAAATACATAGAGACATCACGTAGAACATGCTAGACGGTTAGCATCGAGCTCGAGACGAGTATAGTAACAGTAGATTCTCTGTACAAGGAAAACTTACAATGTTCAGTCTTAGCAAAGAGCTTAACCATGAAGACAGAAGCATAATAAAGCCTACTAATACAACATAGTTCAAAGCTCAAGGAGAACAAAACCTCAGGTTATCATCGATCTCGAAGTATGTAACTGGAATTGTGATAAAAGCAAGATAATTCCAGCTTAGAAGCATTACATAAATTGTTAACCGTCTCAAGTGCCTAACTCACGAGAAGTGATAACCAACAAAAATAAACGAAGAATATAGGCCGAGAACATGTACTGTGATTGTTCGGATCACTCACTTAATATTAGGTCCTGGTCAGAACTAGAATCTCCCCATACTACAGTGTGATATCTTTATGGAATTAAACTACAGAATGAATTGAGCAATAATTTAACGATGATAAAAACACAACACTGGCTTGAAATAAAACTAACATTAGGAAAAGTCCACCAATAATGCACTGCGCTGATATTGAGATCATGCAAACAACTCCCATTGAAAAACATACTAAAAGCTACATACGCGTATAGTAATCGGAAACATACAAACAGCAGTGACAATCCCAGCAGCTCTCAAACCATATTCAATAAGACGAGGTGAAATGGCCATCTGGTGAAATTTACAATTTTTGATAGGTTGTGTACTGAGTAGTTGTGGAGAGCAGTGTGTAGAAGAAACTAGAACAGAAAAAACAAGACGAAAATTGAACCAATATAACAATAAGCATATAAAAAACGCTTACAATTATTTATAAAGGCAATCGACACTAAACAGCAATAACACAAGCGTGAGATTAAGACAACCTAACAACTGTGACTAGACGCTAAGAGTGTTATTTAAATTACCAACATGCGTTAATGAACACTTCAAGGTCTTTTATGTGATTCATAGGATGAGACAAACCACAAACTGGGGAATTGAATTAGTCAACTAATTGATTCGTGGGATCTACATGCAGTTTTAAAAAGTTTTTAATGCTTTTTTATGGTTCTAGTGCTGAAAAACTTACTAGTATTATGGACAGACAACCTATTGTCTGTTTCTTGGGATCTGCGTCTGGTTAGTTATGGAGTCTTGATGATCTCAGAGAGATATAATTCTTCCGGTGCTTATTCTAGGTCTGAAGAAAAGAGCTTTGATCATTACTTGGTGAGATTGTTGAAAAGTGACACCCAGAATTTTTATCTTAGTACCTAAGGAAACATAGCGATAAATAATTCAGCAAAATAAATGGTTCAGCAAGCCCTCAACATTGATGCTAACCTCATTAGTTTTACTGGAAATACCCTTGTTGAAAGCTCTGGTTTATGCACCACCAGATCACCATAAAGTATTCTATGCTTCTCAATCCTTGCAACAAACGCTTCTTAACAAGCCGATAACTTCCCAAATATATCTTCTAACTTTTGTATTCCTTACCCATAATTTGGCTGGTTTTGTATGTTTTGATTATAAAGGTCTAATAGGAAAAAGTATTTTCAAACGCCAAATAGTTATGGCGGCTTGAGAAACGAATTAAATGTATAGTCTTCTTTGAAATATTCATAGAGAGGTGTCGTCAGTTTTGTTTCTAGTAGCGAATCATACGAAAACGTTCTAATGGATTTTCGTGTGAGCTCTTTTGTGCTGATAGAAACGAATGCCCCAAATATCACATATAGTGGTGTCCAGGTTTGATTCTGTGGTTGAAAATATGATGCCAGGATCCATAGAGGAGACGAAATAAAATCTTTCAGTGCAGAATTACCAGATCATACGCAAAAGAATTATTGATGAAGTTGCTTAAGAGCGAACTCTGAAAGCGGTAAAACGTTCTCACGTGGTATGCATTTTTTTCTGACGAGTTAATCTGTAAGATGTATTATACTGAGATTATCAAATTTCATTGTATATCGAGTTCATTTCATACATGTGAGGTGGAGTCTGAAGGTCATCTACCAATTAATACATACTCATCGTGAACTTTTCAAAATATTTTATATAAGTCCTCAATAATCAATATTAACTGGTTTCTACCTTCTGATTAGACTAATTGAAACATGAATACTCAACTGGACGTTACTGTCGTTCTTAATAACTTGACACCTAATCTCTTGAATCATTCATATACACACAGTCACGCATACTGCATTAATCCAATTAATACTTAGTAAATATATGTTCTCATTTTCCATCTGGTAAACAAACTCTTTACTCTCTCAGCCCTCAGTCTGAAGATGCCACAGGTATTTGGAGTTTGACAACGCTCTTACCAGTAACATCTAATATGAATCGTACCCATCAAGTGAAATCAAAAGACAGAAGCGAGGAGGTTCGAAGATAGGTTATCAATATATCGTGAATCGTCTGATCTAATCTGGCTAGCGATTGCAGGGGTTATTGAGCATGGCGTTCCCACTAGTGACCTGGTGCGAATGCATGACCGAGCGCCTTCGGTTAGGTGAGTCTACTAAAACTAATGGGGTCAGCATCCAATGTCGAAAACTTACAGAGCTATTTATTTTGGGAATTTGTTTACCGCTACAATTCTTCAATAGTAATTTCAATGAGAGAGAAATATGACCTAATTCTTTTGAGCCGACCCGAAGTCGAAGTCTGTAATCCCTATATCCGACGAGTCAGTGTTTGATAAACTCAACCCCTTCATCTTCCGAACACCTCGCTTCCTATCCATAAATTTCACTATCACTGCCTAATTTTCCGCATGACGACACATTCATCTCCTCAGGTGGTACGCCGACGGTAGGACTGGGCGATGGAAATATATTATACGCTGGTGCACCGAAAAATCATTGTAGTGTACCCGTTAGCAAGATCTATTAAGGCCAAAACCCAGAATTTCGAAAACCTTACCTCATGCAAACCAAAATACTGATCACTATAGTGCTGATATCCTTCAGCTACGAAACTCTTTCTCCAAAATTAATCGTAAACGTGACCAGTTAATATCTCCCTTGCATATGTGGGCCGCTTCTAGTGTCGAAAACCTTGAACCACTAATTACAGCTGAGTGTATCTCAGAGTTTTTATCTGAAGAAGTAACGAGTAGTATCCAGTTGAGTAAAATTTTAAAATTATTGTCTAATTCAGCATTAGTATCACTTTAATAATCGAACTAATTCCAAAATGGTGGATGTTTCGTGTCTATAGGTAACCCTCGTGCTATTGATTGAAGAAACCAGACAAGTAGTGAACAGGTCTTTATTTCGATCTTAGCGCAGTCACAGTGGAGCGTGGGATTATCTGTTCAGACAAACAAAGGCTCTCAACACTCAATATAAGATAATAGGGAATATAACGCTTATACAAAACAAGGAAGTGAATGAATACTTGAACAATACTGTTTTGGCATATGCTTGGTTGTTTGGGGTCAACTCTTAACCAAGCTGTTACAGATGTCATGATGAGATTACACAGTTTATAATATCTTACGTGAGAGTCAGATCATTGTCTAAACTTGGTCGTTTTATGGTGATAGTCAGCAGTACGATGCTCAGTTCTTCTTAGGAACACATTTCGGCCGGTGATAAAATGATATATTCAACATGGGGTGGTGTATGTTATACGAAATAACCACGCCTGCAATGCTGAGCCATTTCATACCTAATGATTGTTCCCGCATTCACCATTTCCGGCCCCCTCCAAATGTTACATGTTGAATGTAAAAACTTTCAGTACTCATATACTCAGTTTTGAAGATCGTGTGGTTAGGAACCAATATCATTGCACAAGCTAGGGGGTGTTCGCCTTCGAAAATGTGGTATACTGAAACTCGGCTACCAAGTTCAACGTCTTAGAAAAAAATCGGATAAAGGAACATGCAAATTCCTATCTAACATTAACTGTTTTAGCGATACCAAACTGTTTATTAGTCTGCAAAAATACTAACTCTTTGATTCCATATAAAAACGTAAAAGTCACTCTGGACTTAAAACCTTACCAACTTCACGTAAGGAGACATGAAGCGATAGGTTCGCATGGTCAAGTTACTGCAAATAGAAAACTAGAAACAAATCCCAATACCGTGAAAAGTATCGAACACACTCATCATATCATGATGTTAATACACAAACGACAGATCACCCTGTAGACCTAGATGAGTCTAAAGCTCAGAAATTTATGAATGACATGCGGACTCCAACTGACGCCGGAAAAACATAATGACATTTATTATTCCAATACAAGCTGTTCGTGTAATTAAGTACTTGAATGTAAGCCATATGCCAACTCCACCACCTGAACCTAGTCGAGTAAAAACTATTACTCCTAAAGGTATGAACAGGACGACTTGGATGAACTTTAATTCATCTCACAGAAACAAAGAAATTTTCCGACTCTAGCAAAGAAGTGTAAAAAGACGAAATGAGGAAGTAAATATTATTCAACCCAACTTCTTGATGGCTCTGCCAGTGATAGTGAAGGGATTCTCCCAACTGATATCATGTAAACTACCATCAACCACTCTTAGTAGCAAAACTCGTGGTTGGCACAAGCATAACCAACCTTTAAACACGTAAGAAACAGAAACTATCAAAGCACTGAACGTACCACTTACCTGCTATAGCCTAAAACCTTCAATAAGTATGATGTTGATAGATTTCATACCTCAAAACCATCTCGAATCCTCGAGATCACAATCGTCATCACTCTCAGAATGAAAATTTCTCACATTCTACCGCACCTCCCAGTTTACCATGACCGGCCATTCTTTTATTATACGTATTGTAAACATTCCGTCGATCTGTAATAATAAAACGTACTTAGCCCCGTTTTCACCCCGTTGTTAATAATCTCTCATAACGTGATCTGAAACATGAACTAACAGTAATATTTCCGATCTTAGTATGCCTCTTGATATTTATTTCCTCTATCGAAGTGGTAGGTTGAAAGGACGAGGTGGGGGATGCCTTACTGTTGCTTACTCTAGCTTAAACTCACTACTATGTGATATGCCAGGATTGAGCAAACTGCATGATTCGGTGTGGATTATTCAGTTTCCTTACTGTTCAACCGTGTCTACCGTTAACCAAACGTATTAACGTTTGAAATAGCAATGCCATCAGAGAAATCCTTACTAGCCCCGTCCATAACATTCACAAGCAAGCTTATTTGTGTGATCTTCAACACGCCTGGAATTTCTCAATTTCCAGTCAAAGCAATGAAAAGTTTTGAATCATTCGTCGAATGTCTAGAGCTTGAACATTGGACTCAGTATTTCAGTAGCCCTACCAAACATCAAAATATCTTGAACTTAACTTTTGTCAGTGGTCACATCACAATACAACGTTTCCAGGTAGCGACCATAATGATTTCATCTGTAGGCTTGACATTAAAACCACAGCCGGTAAACGTAAAAGTCTCATACATCATAGAAACTGTCGTGGTAAACAAATCCCTAGAATTAATAGCATTGTAAGTCTTCGAAATTTGATGCTGATCTGATTAGTTCGACTGGACTCAAGTAGCTGAAGGCATTCGGTCAAGCATCTACACCAGATCACGAGTGGATACGCCGTGCTGTGCATTCCTTCAACATGCCAATAGAACTCCAAAGCTATCATCAAACTCTTTCACTCCTGACTTCTGATTTGACTGGGTTAGTATGGTTCGATTATAAAGGTATTACTAAATAAGGCGTTGTCAAACTTAGAATACTTGTGGTGTTTTTAAAACTACCACAAGGCTGATTGAGATAACTTCCAAAGTTGCCTATGAAGCACAGATCGGGGAACCTTTACTGTTAACAATTCCGATAGACTAACTAACATATCCTATGACAAATTCAGTATTATCTTTGACAAAATCGAGCCTTTAGAATACTGGAGACCTAAGTTTTCTAAAGATCTGTATGTACAGGCCCGTA